CCCCAAAACCCCAAAACCCCAAAACCCCAGAATATCAAAATTTGTAAAAATAAATGTTAATCACTTGTTAGTTAATTAAATTTTAATTTCGAATTATATATTATCTCAAAGCTTGAGAACTGAAACTGCATATATAATGGCTGCCTATTCTTATTATGATTCCTTACAAAATTCCACTGTATTAATAATTTAAAAGCCTAAATTAATTATTAACCTAGTACAATCCTTACCAGAGCAACCTTAAAACTATGAAGAACTATGCCCTTGATAGAAAAGTAGATAATGTAGTAATCGATGAGAAAACTTCCCCTGAAGTTCAAAACTTTTTCATGAATGACACAAAGAAGAGAATTGTTGATCCAAGAGTGTCAATGGTCTTAGAGAATGCGGAGAAGAAGTTTTTCGAGGAAAAGTAGCTCTAGGAAAAAATCAACAGGGAGAAACAGAAAAATGACTATGAAAAAAGAGTGCAGGACTAGTTGAAAAAGAATAGGGAGCAATAGCATCTGCAAAAGCAAATGAAGGAAATGGCAAAGTAAAGGCAAATGAATGCACTAGGATAACAATAGTAAAAATAGAAGATGCTAGACTCTATTAATGATAGGGATATGAGTTTTAATCCACAAACTACTAAGAATTCTCATAATGGAACTCAAATAATGACTGGTAAACCCATAACTAATATGAATCACACTTATGAAGGTGGTTTGAGTTCTACTTCGGGCCCATAACACCAATTAAGGTCTTAAACTGCTAATCCTAGAAAATTATAAAATAGGATTAATGCAAACTAAACTAATGAAATACCGAATTAGACTGGATTAAACATCTTAATTGAAGAATATAAACCCACACCGTATGAATAATACCTAAACAACAGTAACTAAACATTAAATAAAGGAACTATAAGGACTCTTAATGGCGCAAAAAATCTATATAAAAACCCGACTCTTCAATAATAGATTAATCCAAATAGAACTGTTTAGCAATATGACTCTTTGAATAGCCCAAATATGTCTAGCATGAGATCCATGTCCTCAGCATTTTCATCAAAGAAGTACAATAAACATCACGACTGTACTGATTCTCATCTACCTCTTAATCAATAAGATAGGGACCCTTACAGATATTATGAGACATCAATTAAGCCAACTACTTTTAACATTAATTCTCAGAGGAATCTGTTCTAAGAAGTTGATTGCTTAATCATTAAAGCTAAATCTTTATTTAATCAAAAGCAGTATTTGAAAGTGAAGTAACTCCTGGAGCAGGCAATTAACTAAGAAAATGTGCATCATGCTGATGTCTACTATCTCTGTGGAGAGGCTAACCGTCGTTTAGAGAATCTTCTGATTGCAGAATAAATGTTGATTAGATGTCTTGCTTTTGAATTTCACTCTCCGTTTACTTACTCATCTTTAGCAATGGTTTATCGTGATTAAGGTCATATTGAAAGAGCTTGTGCTCTATTTAAGAGAGCTTTGGAGTAGTAGTAATCACCATAAGTCGCTTTTGAGCTTGCAAAACTGCTTGCCTAGCAGTAATACCTGACAGAGAGTTTGGTTTATTTTACAAAAGCTATTGATTTAAGTGAAAGTGGGCTTGGGTTATAGAGAGATCTAGGTGGAGAAAAACTAGCAGAGTACTACATGCATCGAAGTCTGATTTATGAAGCTCTTGGTTTAGTATAGCTAAGTAGGAAAGATATGTATAGGATTAGAGAATATGATGAGACTTTTGAAAAGAAGTACAATGAAGAAAGCATTAAATTGCAATAAAGTGGGTAATTGGCATAGAGTTTTAAAATTAAACAATTTCTATCCAAAATGAGTCAAATATGAATAACTTAAATTTTTCACATTCTTAATTTCAATTCACTTTATACAAGTAGGGGGTTTTGGGGTTTTGGGG